CCTGTTTTTGGGGGGTCTCTGGAGATAGGGACATGGGTTTGGAGGTTCCTCAAGGTGGGGACCTGGATTTGGAGGTTCTCTGGAGATGGGGACCTGGTTTTGGAGGGTTCCTGGAGTTGGGGAAATGATTTTGGAGGGTTCCTCAAGGTGGGGATGGAGTTTTGGAGGTCTCTGGAGGTGGGGACCTGGTTTTGGAGGATTCCTCAAGGCAGGGATGGGGGTTTTGGAGGGTTCCTTGAGGTCGGGACGTGGTTATGGAGGGTTCCTGGAGTTTGGAACCTGGTTTGGAAGGGTTCCTGGAGATGGGGATGCGGTTTTGGAGGTCTCTGGATGTGGGGACCTGTTTTTCAAGGGGTCCCTGTGGTGGAGATGGGGTTTTGGAGGGGTCCTAGAATTGGGCATGGGGGTTTGGAGGGTTCTTCAAGGTGGGGACCTGGATTGGGAGGGTTCCTCAAGGTGGGGACGTGGTTATGGAAGTCTGTGGGGGTGGGGATGGGATTCTGGAAGGTCCCTGCAGTCAGGGACATGGGTTCTGGAAGGTTCCTCCAGGTGGGGACCTGGTTATGGAGGGTTCCTTGGCTGGGGACCTGGTTTTGGAGAGGTCCTGGCGTTGAGGACGTGGTCTTGGAGAGTTCCTGAAGTTGGAGACGGGATTTTGGAGGGTCCCTGGAGATGTGGACCTGGTTTGGGAGGGTTCCTCAAGGTGGGGACCTGGTTTCGGAGGGGTCCTGGAGAGGGGGACATTGTTATGGAAGGTCCCTAGAGTTGGGGACATGGTTATGGAGGGTCCCTGCAGTTGAAGACCTGGTTTTGGAGGGTTCTTCAAGGTGGGGACGGGGTTTTGGAAGGTCCCTAGAGTTGAGCACAGGGTTTTGGAGGTACCTCGAGGTGGGGACCTGGTTATGGAGGGTTCCTCGGATGGGGACCTGGTTTTGAAGAGGTCCTGGAGATGGGAACCTGGTTTTGGAGGGTTCCTCAAGATGGGGACAGGATTTTGGAGGGTGCCTACAGTTGGGTACAGGGTTCTGGAAGGTTCCTCAAGGTGGGGAAGGGGTTTTGGAGGGTTCCTGGAGTTGGGGATGTGGGTTCTGGAGGTTCCTCGAGGTGGGGACGTGGTTATGGAGGGTCTCCGGAGTCGCGGATGTGCGTTTTGGATGTTCCTCAAGGTAGAGACAGGATTGTGGAGGTTTCCTGGAGTTGGAGTTGGGATTTTGAAGGGTTCCTCAATGTGGGGATGGAGTTCTGGAAGGTTCCTGGAGATAGGAACAGGATTTTKAAGGTTCTTCGAGGTAGGGGCGTGGATTTGGAGAGTTCCTTGAGGTGGGGACGTGGGTTCTGGAAGGTTCCTCAAGGTGGGGATGGGGTTTTGGAGGTTCTTCAAGACGGGGTTGTGGATTTAGAGGATTCCTCAAGGTGGGGACGTGGGTTCTGGAAGGTTCCTGGAGGTGGGGATGTGATTATGGAGGGTTCGTGGAGTTGAGAACTGGGTTTTAGRGGGTTCCTCRAGGTGGGGATGGAGTTCTGGAAGATTCCTGGAGTTAGAAACGGGATTTTGGAGGTTGCTCCAGGTGGGGACGTGGGTTCTGGAAGGTTCCTGGAGGTGGGGATGTGGTTTTGGAGGTACCTTGAGGTGGGAACATGGTTATGGAGGGTTCCTCAAGGTGRGGACGTGGGTTCTGGAAGGTTCCTCAAGATGGGGATGGGGTTTTGGAGGGTGCCTGGAGTTGAGGATGGGGTTTTAGAGGGTTCCTCAAGGTGGGGATGGGGTTCTGGAAGGTTCCTCAAGGTGGGGACATAGATTTAGAGGGTTTCTTGGGGTGAGGCCTTGGTTCTGGAGGGTTCCTCAAGGTGGGGATGGGGTTATGGAGAGTTCCTGGAGTTGGAGACGGGATTTTCGAGGTACCTTGAGGTGGGGACATGGTTATGGAGGGTTCCTTAAGGTGGGGACATGGGTTCTGGAAGGTTCCTCAAGGTGGGAATGGGGTTTTGGGGGTTCCTCAAGATGGGGACAGAATTTTGGAGGGTCCCTGGAGTCGGAGACATGGGTTTTGGAGGGATTTTCAAGGTGGGGATGGGGTTTTGGAGATTCCTCAAGATGGGGACGTGGATTTAGAGAGTTCCTCAAGGTGTGGACGTGGTTTCTGGAAGGTTCTTCAAGGTGAGGATGGGGTTTTGGAGGGTTCCTGGAGTTGAGGATGGGGTTTTGGAGGTACCTTGAGGTCAGGATGGGGTTCTGGAAGGTTCCTCAAGATGGGGATGTGGTTATGGAGGGTTCTTGAGATGGGGATGTGGGTTCTGGAAGGTTCCTCAAGATGGAGGCATGGATTTGGAGGGTTCCTGGAGTTGAGGACAGGGTTTTAGAGGTTTCCTCAAGGTGAGGATGTGGGTTCTGGCAGGTTCCTTGAGGTGGGGATGGGGTTCTGGCAGGTTCCTCAAGGTGGGGATGGGATTTTGGAAGGTTCCTGAAGATGAGGACACGATTTTGGAAGGTTCCTGAAGGTGGGGATGGGGTTCTGGAAGGTTCCTCAAGGTGAGGATGGAGTTTTGGAAGGTTCCTCAAGGTGGGAACATGGTTT